ACACAAGGGAGGTGCTATAAACATCAAAGCAAACCCAATCATCCCAACTAGGTTGGCAAAACGGGGCATGCCAAGTCATTTGTATCACCATCCCCACAAACAGAGGTTGAAGAGGCATCAACCAGAACAAACATCCTAAGGGCAACAACAGTTGGCCAAAGCAAACCCAAAACAATGAGGACAATAGCAGTCCAGCAGCAACCCATAAAGCTAATGACCATTACATCTTATTGCATCAAGCTCGAAACCAAGTCATTAACAGAATAGTTTACCTCTACAGTTGTATTTAATCGAAAGAGCCACATTAACCTTAATCAACTCACTAATATTGTCCCATTTGGGGTGGGTTTCATTCAACGTACATTCATTCCTTACTTTCCACAAAGTGCATAACACTACAAATGGAAGAGCATTCCATATTTTCCTATCCATTTTCTTGAAGATGGAGCTATAGTCCATCCACCAATGAAGCAGCTTGGTAGTCTTGATAGATCATTGTAGTATATGATCATGGAAGAATCACCAAATATGTATTTTTGGTCTGAGAAAATGATGTTCTCAAATTACAAGAGAATGAAGATTGTTCTCTCTTCATATTTCAAAGCATGTGACTTGTTCGATGTGGTTGAAGAAAAGCTAAGTAACAGGTTGCCTAAAACAATTCGAGAGAAGAAACAAGAAAAAGAAATCGGAGTTCTGAAGAAGGCCATACATTCAGAGGTATGGACGTATATTGGAGATTCAAGAACACCATCATGTTTGGAAGTTGATTGATAGTATTGTCTCCAAACATGAAGGTAAATTGTTACCCATTGAGTATTGGGTACAATGCTTTGCAGAAGACTAGTTCAACAAAGAAGAGTGAGATCGAAAAAATCCAAAGAAGATTCCTTTGGGAAGGTAGTGAGGATAAAAACGGCAGCCATCTTGCCAACTGAAAATCAGTTACAAATAGGAAAGAGTTTAGAGGTTTAGGCGTTCATTCACTTAAGCTAAATTTTTTTTCTCTCTTTGCCAAATGGTGGTGGTGTTATGGTTTAGAAAAGAATGCCCTTTGGCGAAAAGTAGTGGTTGAAATATACGAAACAAGGCCTGGTAGTTGGCTACCGTTTGATCTTCATGGATTACAAATTTCCAAAGGTTGGAGAAGCATTCTTGAAGTGGGCAGTAGTGGTGATGTGTTCAGTGAATTATTGACCAACAATCTTGTGCTAAAATTAGGATTAGGTTGTGATATTCTTTTTAGGACTGATCTGTCGATTGGAGTTGAGCCTCTATCAACTACTTTCCCTTGGCTTTTCTCCTTCTCCACTCAGAAAAATAAGTCAATTGCAGAACTGTCCTCTTTCAACAGTGTTGGTTTAGCTTGTAAAATTCAATTTCGACGACATCTGCGACCATGGGAACTTGCTCTAAGCCTCGAAAGGGTTCGGATCCATGAACCTAGAGACTTACTTGGGCCCGGACTCGAAAGGGTATTAAGCAAGCCTAGAGATCCGAGGCACTCGGACTCGAAAGGATTCGGATCCACGAATCTAGAGATCCGAAGTACTTGGCTTCGAACGGATTCAGACGCAATCTAGAAGTCGCTCCGTTAATGAGTCCCAGAACACTTGCGGGCTCGGAGCTTTCCGGGATCTACGTACCAGAACCATGGGCGTAATGGAGTCCGAACAAAGGACCCGATCCTGAGGACGGTGAGTGGAGATAACTTTACTCTTCGGTTAAACTAGCCTATACCCGGGTCGAGGTGGCACGACCCCGGGGGGTCCATGAGACTCGGCAATATTTTGCGGCAGGACATCCTCTGGGACTACCCCTGACCCTTTGGGATGATTGGGGATCATTGGTTAGGTGTGGCTAAGAGGAAGGGTTCGCCGAGGGATTGATCTCCTCTTCGGGGTTTTCTCATCCTCGGAGAAGTCTCCTCCTCGGAGAGGTCACCTCCTCGGACAAGGTGGTTACAGAGAATATCCCCCATGTGCCTTGCACATGGGCTCCATCCTACATCATGAGGTGCCTATAAATAGCACCCATCCATAGCTTTACAAGGGATGGATTTTTGGAGAGTTAACTCTTGGGAAAGAACTAATTTCCCATCTCCATTATCAACCTTGAGAGTGAAAGTGGGAGATCCATGGGAGAGCCTTGCCGTTATTCTATTCTCTAGCCATTTTGCCTTCTTCTTCACCCAATCTCTTATCTCCATCATCTCCTTTGTTTTTGTGTTCCTAAGTTGAGATTATTGAAGAATCTAAGCCTCTCATCATATTCTAGAGAATTCGAAGTTGTTCTTCAAGGATCTTTGAAGATCTTCGAATTTTCCAACTCCTTTCTTGAACCCTCTCCTACAAAACCTTTTGCAAACATTCGGAGTGATAATTTTGAATTTAGGAACAGTAGTCTGAGGCCACCTGGTATGGAGAAAAAAGTGCATAATGAAGTGTGATTCCATATTCCATGTACAAGGTACTAACATTTCTTCCCCAAACTTTAGTTACCAAGACTAAAATAAATTTTTTAATTCATTTACTGTAAGTATCACAAACAAGTATATTTGTGCACACATGACATACATCTATCTACTTATTACCATGGTTAGCTATGCATAATTCACACCAGACCCATCATAACACAATGGCAATTAATGATGGCATAGAATTTTAAAGGTGTGAACTGTTAGATTTGTATCTAAAAGATAAAAGAAATAATTTCCGTTCTTCTTTCCCTTCCCCTCATATTCTGTGCTTTAATTAGAATATTGCTCATCACAAATAAATAAATAAAAACTTATTCCCTCATCAGCTGATGCAACTTCAACCTTATAGCAATGCATTATTTCTAATTACAATGTATGTACATGTGTTCATATACAACTTTGACAATGCAGATAATAAAGCGAGAAAGGTTTGACATCATATGAAAGTATTCATTTTTCACCCACTAATTGTCTTCTATTTCTCAATGTAACAGCTAATCGGTATTTTAGTTTTTTTCCTACTCCATTTAACTTCATAAAGATCCCACTAAGCAATTATAGAAAGTTCGATGAATAACACTATCATCACATTTAACCCCTACTTAATATGCTACACTTTATTATGAAGTGTCCTGATTATAATTTGAGAACTAAAAAACGATCAATATGACCAAAACTACTACCCAGAGAAAATTGAGTCAAAACCAGAGAATTTCTCTAGATCAACCCAATTTTCTCTGAAGCAAAGCACTACTCCAGTCCAAAACCAAAGAATTTCTCTGGACCAACCCAATTTTCTCTGAAGCAGAGCACTAATCCTCATTGTTGTCCAGAGAAATTTGAAATTTTCTCTGTGATGTGTCCAGAAAAATTTGGAATTTTCTCTGTGATTTGTCTAGAGAAATTCTCTGGAACGAATTTTCTCTGGATCGATGTTGAGGGACCTTAGATATTATGAAAATATTGAGTATCCTTTATGCTATAAAATCTTAAAACTAGGGACCTTAAAAAAAATCCCCTAAAAAATATTTTCCACTCAAATAAAAAGAGTGCTAATGTTAAAAAACTATAATAAAATGCAAAAGAAGTTAGAAGTTATGCCTAATGTTCACCACCTACTTATTTGTATTTCCATAAAAATAATTATAATTATTTTGAATTATTCATATTAAAACACAAATTTCCTATAAATAAATGTGAAATTTATTATAAAATTCTCCTTCAAATACTTATATCCCAATTAATCCCTAACTATTTTTGTATTACAACAAGTCCTATTATTTATACATTTAATCCACAAAATTCTAATTCTCATATTTAAGGTAAGGTATTTTATGGATAATTTGATCTTTACAAATATTTTTTGAGCCCTTAGCAACTTAGTGATGTGAGCATTCATGTTTGACGGTATGAATGTTCACATTGACGTGTGAATGTTTATATCACGAAACATTCATATTGTTAATGTAAATATTAGGGATATTTTGATAACTATGTCACTATAAGACTTATTGAAATATAAGAAAATAATTTAAATTAATTAAAATATAAGTAAGTAAAGAAGGATTTATAAATAAATAAATGTCCCTAAATAAAATGGATAAACTATCCATCCAAAATGATTTGCCAATTTATATTTGTACCGTCTTGGGTAGGAGTGTAAAAAAAATCAGTGTAACCAAACCAACCCAATTAAGACCGACTGAATTTTTGATCCACTCAAGCCCACCTCAATTGGTGATCCCACTTTAATTTCAAATTAAAGTTGTCGAAAAATCATTATTTTCTAACAGATTTTTAATTTACTTTTTATAACGTATGGTTTATTTCAGTTTTGAAAAATTTTCCACCCATATTAACCAAACCGTATCAAGGAGGAGGTATTCACTATTTTTGTAATAAGTGTGAAAATATTTCAATTTTTATTTTTTGTAATAAAAATTGAGGAGGTATTCACTCTTTTTCTTCATTTATTGTTCAATGTGAGATTTTACAAAAATTTATAAAACACCTTAAAATCTCATGAGAATCCTTTCGGTATACAGAAGCGACAAAATCAAACCGTATCAAATAATTTGTTTTAATTTCTTAACTAGCAAAATTAGAAAGTTCTGTTCAGTACTAAATTTTCCCTTAATCCCGACCAAATCGAACTGTTTACACCCCTACTCACAAGAGACCAAGAGATCTTTCGACTGGGCTTTTGGTGACCTTACAATATAACCAACAAAGACATGTTTGACAATCAATGTTACATAGTAATGTCTAGCCCAATCAAACTCAATCTTAAATGACTTGAAAGATGCAATCTATTTATACAATAAATGAATTAGACTGGTTTTAATGAATTTAAAAGGGGTAAAATTGGACGGGCTCCCATTTCGTTTAAGTTTGCCACCTCTAATTTACACTAGGAAACAAAGAGCTAATTACTCTCTGCAAGCATTATGTCAAGCAGCTACAATTAGGCAGTGACTATCGTGCAACCATGAGAAGTCAATGTGTCAATGCCAAAAGACCCTAGGAACAATAATAGCTTACCCATTGAATGATTACTCACGTATGCAATAATGGAATTTGTAGGTCACAAAAAAAATCCAAAAACCATTTTATCCTGCTGATATCAAGTTGCCCACAATGTTTTCTACCAACTTCTGAAAACCAAACTAATCAAAACATCATAATGAAGCAAGACTTATTGCATAGCTAAGTTTCAGAATGCAGATTGAAGAACAACTTCAAGCACTAGAGACAGAGCCGCCTTTATGGCATTCACACAGCATATCCATATAGAACTGGCACTTGCTGATGTCACTTGCATTATAGTTTAAGCACTGCAAGGCAGAACAAAGCAAATACAATAGTAAATTACCAGCGATATTAGACTTTGCGAACAAAAATGATGTTTAGTAGCACCCACTTCATAAAATAAAAAAATTATTAAAAAGAAGGGCAAAACAATATGCAGTCTTGATGACAATGCACACAGCAACAACACAAGCAAAACTACAATAGCAAGAGGAAATACAATGAAGTCGATTAAGCAAACTTCAATTACACAAAATGATAACCAATAATTAGTCAAGAAAACAAGAAAAGAAAAAGCCGTAACCCCCACAACAAACACTGCAAGAAATCTACAAAGAGAAACAAAAACATGGCCACAATAGCTTATGGATGATCCACCAAGATCAGAAAAAAAAGTCAAGAAGGCAACATTTCAAAATCTTCAGAATTAGATAATAAACAAAATGGGGAACTGTAAATACTTGTTTCTACCATTCACACCATACAGCAAACAACCACAACATACTTGTACAAAATCATGGCACATTTATAAAAGAGATTATCCTCTGATGCCTAAGTTAGTAAAAAGTTCGAGTGGAAGCACTTAAAATCTTCTTCTAGCCATATCAGATAGCCCACGGTTCTGATGCCAATTCAAAATTTTGAAATCATGCAGGCTCAAAACATAACGAAGAGAAGTTCTATTAGCAGTAACTAAAAGCAACAACTAGAAATGCAGTTAAATAGAGAGAACATACATCTATGAAGGATTTGGATTGACCACCACATGTATCAGAATCTGCAGAAACTGGTGCAACAGAAGGAACCGAGGAGCCAACTACCTCATGCCTGAAAACACGGGGACCAATCACAGCATCAGCAGCCCTGTGTCCAATTGCATTTCCACCACCAAAAGCCATACCTGTGCATCAATAATAGAAACTGTTTACCAGTGTTTGAGCTTGATTATATCTTATTGAATTGGAAATAATACTATCCATGCTTAGAATATGCATAACAAACCAGAAGGGATAACTAACCATCAGCGACAGAAGCGCCAAGTCCTCCCTTTGCTGATTCCCCTTGTGCAGTTGCCGGTGCTGGTGCAGGTGCTGGTGCTGGTGGACGAGCAGGAGCATCTGTGGCAAACAATCATTTGGCATTTAAACTTGTAGTCCAAACCAAAAAGAAAAAAAAAAAAAAACAAGAGAACACACCACATTGGTCGCACTAACATAACACTATGTAGCAACTAAAAAAATAAAAATGACGAATTTTATCCATCACACAATGCCAACCATATGCCATTAAAATCCTAATTAAGTACTCTGTAGAACCAAATTTTATACCATAAAAGAAACCCTGATGTGCCCCTTTGTCCTAGAAACAAAAGCTAATTGATACATTGAAACATTTGACAGAACCCAACCATTAAAGATCAAACTATGATCTGGATTGACAGAATTTAAAGACCATACAATTTTGTATCCCCAATGATGAACAAACCTAGTGGTGATATCCACAATACAACAGCTGTTAGAATTACAAGTCCTTGGAAGTATGAACAAAATGTGTTGTGCAGTTCAATATGTAAGCCTAAGCTGGACAGGTAACATAGCTGTAACCCCTATGTCCATAGTGTATGCATTTTAAAGAGCAGAAATTCTACATTTGCAATATATAAAGGCCCCACCTCGCTTCTGAGGATTACGCAGTGAACCACCACTAGCACTAGGGGCTGACTTAGACCATCCTGCAAGAATAATATGCTATCATCAATACAACTTCATGTCGACAAAAAAGCAAAATATGAAAAAATTATAGAAGTAAATGAAACCCCTGCACGATCCACTTTGAGGAATTCATTAACAAACTAGTTGTTAAATAATAGCAGATATGAATCTCTTTTGACAATTCCATGTGACTACAATTGCAAGACTAGTTTTAGACACAGGTTATAAGTCCAATCCCCTATAGCTTAAAGCATACAATTATTTGAAAAGGAGACTACATAATTGCATAATATAACTACTTAGTCGCATTGAACATATCAATTGGTAAACGTGCTGTCCACTTTAGTTCTAAAGCAAAGGAGGAGGATTCCCTCCGGTCCATAATCTAGGCTGTATGGCAGTGTTTAGTCCTGTGGGGCCCACCACAGCCCCATTTTGATGATCAAAGCCATTCATTTTGTCGGACATTTTGTGTATTTTATCCACACACAAAATTAGATCGCTCCAATAATCATAACATATTTAATTTATGACGTTCGTCACAAAAAAATGGACGACAACTGTGTTTTTAAAAATAAATTATCCATTTTTTTGGTGACAAACGCAATAAATTAAATAGGTTATGATTGTCAAATCGACTTAATTTTTTTGTGGATGAAATATACGAAATGCTCGACAAAATAAACAGTTTAGATCATCAAAATGGGACCATTAGTTAGCCCCACAAGCCCAAACAAGGTATTTTTATTAAAACATTTATGAACCTCAAAATGTGTAACATTACACAAAAATACGTAAACTGACAACAAAAATTTGCAATTTTTGATCCACATATTGTGGCAGCTCTACCAAACAACCACGTAAGATTTGTTACAAGAATACGTAAAATGACAACAAAAATTTGCAATTTCATTTTTGATCCGCATATTGTGGTAGCTCTAGCAAACAACTACGTAATATTTGTTACAAAAATATGTAACATATACTAAGGTAATACGCAACAAAGTGCACACCCTACCAAAGGAGCTCCCCTAATCAAGAGTTCCCCTAATCAAATACGTTCGGTATAAAAATAAATTTTAAAGATCATCCTTGCCCCGTTTTTCTATTTTCTACATTGCATTTTTTTTTTTTCCTTTTATTTATTTATTTATTTTTTTTGAGAACACTACATTGCATTGTTGATGGAACTCCTTGCCGGCTCATTGTATTTTAGGGCATTTTTTATTTCTACACCTGTTTAAGATGAAAATGCAACAATTTCCTTCTTGACAAAAACAACCAGAAAATCAGGGGGCCGGGGAGGACCAGAGATTCATTGCAACATTAATTGTTATTAATCTAAAATAAAAATTGTAACAATATTTATCAGGCTGTTTAAAGATTATGGATTTAGGCAGAAATTTGTAAGGGAAAAGAAAAGACGAGAAATAGAGGGGGAAAAAATTCAAATTATATTTCATTCGCATTTTCCTCACATTTTAATTTTTTTTTTAAAAAACAATCGCTACCTAAATCTATGATCCAACACAATTTTAAGGTTGAGACAAGGTGGGTTTTTAAAGATGAAGATCCCAAAACTTTTATTTTGGTGGACTAAAAAATAAAAGACTTGGGAAGTTGGTTATTTGACTTTTTAACTATTTTAACCTAACTAAAATAGTTGTGTTTGAGAAGATAATTTAGTTTTTTTTTTAGTTGATTTGATAATTGTGATAGAAAAAATAAAATAATTATAAATTGAACGTGACATTTCATCTTATTAGTTATTTCAACTTATTTTGTCTTTATTAATTATTTTAGGTAAAAAAAAAAACTAAAAAAACAACTTGTCAAACAGGCCTTTAAAGTTCAAAATATCAATTTCTAACCTACAACTAAATTTTCTTCCCAAACAAACATTGGCTACATATCTTATGTCGGATCAGAATAAACAGAACTTTCACAATTCGTATTTGACACAAATATATCGTCCGATTTTTTGTTCCATTCCTTCAAACAATCAATCTCATTCAGGAAACGTGAGATAATATTACAACAATCCAAATAATAATAGAAAAATATATACATGAAAAGTAAAGTACGTTGATAGATATAGATATATATAGAGATATACATATGTTGGGATCTGGGATCCCGCCCAAGACCTTATAGAAATCAAAACAAGCAGAAAAACACACCCACACTCAAGGAGACACAATATTTAACGTGGTTCGGCCTCAATGCCTACATCCACGGGAGAGTAGCCGGTTATCACTATAACACTGGAGATATTACAGAGAGATTACAATAGAGGAGGAGCTCACACTCTCCTCACTCACACCCTCACCCGTCTCCCTCGCTCACATCGAGAGAGACGGTCTCTCCGCCTCACATCTCTCACTCTCTTTGTTGTCTCACGGTTTGCTCACTCTTTGCTCTCTCCTCTCAACCTCCATTTATAGGTGAGGAAGTAGGTGGGAGAGCCTTTGGGCAGCCTCCATCCTTGACTCTTCAAGATGGTTGGTGGCCGCCAAGGTGGACTTTGGTTGGTTGCCTTCCCATTGTTGCCAACCAAACTTGACTTGGATGATCACCCCTTTCACACATGGGTGAATTCAACAACATACCCCAACCTCCAGATCCACCGCCAGAGCTACCTCCAGATCTACCTCCAGAGCTTCCGCGAGCCATGATTGCTTGTGATTGAATTGAAGACGAATATGAAAAGAGCGAACAGAGAGACAACTTGAGGCACAAGAAACTGAACAGGCTCTACGAATTTACTATTTATAACTGGTGCGTGGGTGATTGAGGAATATGAGTCTGTGTCGGGTGATTGGTAGATAAGGTAAGCCCCTGATTTTGTATCGTTTGATTCAGGAATCTGATAAAATATGATGGCCCTGGTTGGTAGGACCGTGGGAAAGTAGGATAGTGAGAAAGTGCTTATCACTTATACCTTAAACCTTAAGGTATGTTTGATTGGGTAGATTAGAGTATGGGATTAGGATTATTAATCGGTGGGTCTAATTATTCTATGTTTTAACATTTTGATTTAGGATTAATAATCCAATGGATAATTAATCTAACAAATTTGTAAGATTATTAATAATGGGGTAGGGGTGGAATTATTACTCCAATGAATATTAATCCAATTGGATAGTAAATACCACACTAATTTAATAGGATTATTAATACTTCACTATTAGTGTTGTGAATCAAACATGACCTAATAGCTTATAGCTTATAATTATGAACATAAGTTTATTTTTGACTTATAAATTAAGTTTTTTCTGCCCTATTCAAAGAATAAGTTGATTTCTAACTTACAAAAAACTATAAGTTGTATTGTTAAATTAAACTAAACATATCAAAATAGCTTAAATTAAATTAAGAATTAAAATAAATTAAAGTTAAACTGTATCAAACAGAGCCGATATATGATGATTCGTTAACAAATATGAGTATGTGACGCTCTCGAGTATTGAATAGGTTTTTTATGGCTTGGGCCACAAGATCGTACCGCATGCTAATTCTCTCTCCCTCAGCCAAGTAGTTATCTTTATTTTCTTCTAGAATATTCTAGTAATTCCATAAATATTTTGTATTTAATTTTTAAAAATATTAAAAAAAACTGTTGTTTTACTGTTAAGTTAGGCCTATTGGAAGGTGGCTTTTTCCTTTTTAATTAAAATATGAGATCAAAAAATTAATTATTTTATTTAAGTCTCATTTGGTATGCGAGTGTTTTAATTTAAAAGTAAAAAAATTATTAAAAAAATAAAAATCTATAACTAGTCTATAACTTATACTAAAAAGTTAAAGATTCTCTTATTTATTTATTTTTTGCACATCTTTTCATAAAAAATCAAAAAATCATTCCAAACATACTAATTTTTTTTATCTCATATTATAGCAAAAAATTCAAAAAATTAATAAAATAATATGTTCTCAAACGAGGATTTAGTTTGAAATTTTTAAAAATAATTTTATGAGATTTTAATTCATATTTTTTGTTTTGTTTTTAGTCAATGTTTTTTGATATTTTAATTAATATTTTTAAAATTTCAAATCCACTTAATCTAGATTCTACAAAAATAAAAATAAAAATAAAAATTATTGAATACAAAAAAAATTATAAAAATTTAATATATTTTCGTATTTTGTTGTCTTTTATATTTTTTTAAGTGTATTTATATTAAGTGGATAATATTGATTAATATATTAAAAAAATTGACTAAAAAAAAAACTGGATTTTTTTTCAGATAGTCAAAAAAAAAAAAAGGATTGAAAACTTAAAAAACTGTTTTCAAAAACTCTAAACCAAATAAATTGAATATATGTTTGAGAATGATTTTTTGACTTATTAGGAAATAGGAAAAAAAATGTACAATAAGTAGAATAAATGATAATGAATCTTGAGAAAATTGGTGATAAATCCAATTTAGAAAGTGTCTAAGATATTAGATCCAGTGAATATTTTTTCTTCGTGAGAGGTTCACGTTTTGGGAATTTTCTTCGTGAGAGGTTCACGTTTTGGGAATTAGTTTGGTGAGAAGTCATGTATAACATTTTGTTTTCAATTTTAACCCTTGATTTTTTTTTATTTATTTGACTTTTTGTTGACTATTTGTTCAAATTTTTTCCTAATCTGTTCAAATTTTTTACCCTATTTGTTCAAAATTTTCTTTATCTATTCAAAAAATTTACCCTATCTGTTTAATTTTTTAACTTTTTCAATTCAAATTTCGCTTATCTGTTTAAATATTTGTCGAAATAAAATTCTATCTATCCAATTTTTTGTCTATCTATCCAATTTTTTTCCTATCTATCTAATTTTTTGCCTATCTATTTAATTTTTCCCCTTATCTGTCCAAAATTTTATTATCTGTTCATTTTTTTCCCTTACAATCTATTTGTCAAAATTCTATCTATTCAAATTTTTTAAAATATTTTTTCTATCTATTGAAATACAAGGAAAACCAAACCCTATATGTTGAGCCAACCCAACCTTATCATTGCAATACCAAGTCAAACCAAACCTTATTTGTTCAATTTTTTGACCTGTCTGTTCAATTACTATATTTATTTGATAAACCTACTCTCTCTCTTTCTCTCTTTCTTCCTATCTGCCAAACCAAACATATCTTATTTGCTCAAATTTTTGCTCAAGCCCAAAGAACCAAAAAAAAAAAAAAAAAAAAAAAAAAAAAAAAAAAATCAAATGTACATGATTTGTTGAAATTTCCCTTCTCCTTTACACATATACAATCCAATCTTGAATGCAAGAACAAATATACAGAGATACATAATTCACACACACACATACACAGAGGTTGTACTCATCCTTCAATCATATGATCTAACACTAAACAAACAGTAATAATAATAATAATAATAATAAATAGAGAAGAAACAAAAAAGAGAAGAGAAGAGAAGATGAGAGATACTACTATTACTACTGCAGCAGTAAATGTCTTACTATTACTACTGCAGCAATAAATGTCTTCTAGTACTACTACTACAACAATAGTAAATGTCTTCAAAAAAATGTTTGTAAAATGTACAAAAATTGATCCCGCTTCACAGATCATTACTCAGAACTCAGATAAAATGTTTGTAAAAAAACACAAATCCTCATATCCGAACTCAGTATCCTCAGATCTATTAAAAAAACCACAGATCTGACCTGAGAAAAAAGAGAATGATGGGATCTGGTCTTGCCATTGCCGTGAGTCATATCGTTCACTTCTATACACTAAAGTGATGGCAATGACGATACTTACTTTGGATTCATCATCAACATATCTAAGCCTAAGATCTTGATGTTGTGGAGAGAATGGGTGGACGAGTGGCTGGAGATGAACCAAACGGTGGTGGCGAAGAGATTAATAGAAGCAAGTTTAGTGTCGGTAAAGTCTTCTTCACGGCTTCCGATCACTCTGAGAATGCGAAGTTTGAAACCTAGCAACCGATGACGGAAGGAACGGTGAAGGTTTAGAGGAGTTGCAAAGAAAAAAAGAGATATTGTCATCATAATTGATCGGTATAGTGAGATAGCGAGTTGGAGGAGGTGGTGGAAAAGCAATGCGACCCAAGTAGCCTGACAGTGGCCAAACGACTCAACAATGAAATTGGCAGTGACAGCGCCACCGCATTGCCGCCGTATCTAAAAATTGGAATCGAACTGGGCTGCGAGTCGAGACGAACAATATGGAAAAGAGAGAGTGAGAGAGAAAGAGTAAAGAGAGAGAGAGAGAAAGAGAGAGAGAGAGAGAGAGAGAGAAGGCTGTAATTAGCGTTTGAAAATGAGAGTCTTTACGGTAGCTATATTATATATATGGGGTAGTTTGGTCTTTTCACAAAAACGTGTCCTTATGGACATATTATTTTTGAGCGTGGACCTTGGGCCAAAAGAAATTCAAATTTGAATTTATGGTCTGAGCACCCATGAATCTTTGACTTTGTAGAGTGAATAGAAAGAAATCTATAACTATTTTTTGTATGAGTTAATACTTTTTGATTTTTTACATTTGTAGTGACTTTGTACTTTTTGGCTCAAATAATTACTTGCCAAACATTCCCTTAATAATAACTAGCGGGTGACATATGCAATATGCGTGCAATTTGAATAAGTAAAAACAAAAATAAATAATAAAAAAATTAATATAATACTATATATGCTACCTAAGTGTTAAGACTTTGTAGTGAAATCCAAGTTTTTGGATTCAAACCCTGCTCACCTCATTGTATAACTTTTTATGTCTTAAGTGATAAGAATCTTCTTAAAGAAACCCAAGGCCCTAGGTTCAAGGCTTGTTTTGTATAACTTTTTTTCAAAGGATAGAAAAAATAAATAAATAAAATTGATATATTGCCATGTTTTATTTTTACATCATTTTTTTTATAAGATTAGATATAATGTGATTATTGATAGGATTGTGAGAGATAAATCATTATAGGGTAAACTACCGATAGGTTCTGATAATTAAATTTAATTCCCATCAAGTCCTATTGAAAATAAGTCCTAAACTCGTTGCTAAAAATAATTTTTTTGTGACAATTTTTTTGTATATGTCGCTAAAAATTGACAATTAGTAACTTTTTTTATCATATTTTTATAAATTGTCCCTAAAATTTACAACTAATGATATTTTTCTGTGACGAAATTTTCAAATTGTTGCTAAAAATAAAAAATTAGTGACATTTTTTTGTGAAGATTTTTTTAAACCGTCGCTAAAAGTTATAATTAATGACATTTTTTATAATAAAATTTTTAAACTGTCGTTGAAAATTAATAACATTTTTTCAGAGTGTTTGATGAAAAATGTCATTAATTCTAACAGGACCTATTAGATAATAAGTTCACCTATTAAGACCTACACATAAGTCCCCCTAAATTATAGTATGAAATTAATTAAAATGAAATATTGAATATAAGATAGAATTATGATGACTAGGATTACGACAGATAATTTATGTCAAGGATAAATATGTGGGATAAAAAATTTGACTGAGTGTGGTATTTTGTTTTGTTATGATAGGATAAAAACATATAATTATCATTCTATCACTAAAAAGTGAAAAAATATATAAAATATATAAATATTTTTGTAATATGGCAATAAATACAAATTTAAAACCCACCAGCAGTTTTTAATAGTTATTATTTTATAAATTAACTTCCAAGTGGTTGTGGATTATGGGTGAATTTTTAAGAAACAGTGAATGGTATTTTAGAAAAAGCAAAATGGTAAAGGGTGTTTTATTAAAAGTAAAAATTTCCAGACTCTAACTCCAGTCTTTGCTTTATAGTATAAATAGACAGGAGACAAATAGAGAGGTAGTATCAAAGCATAGATGGATAGTATAAATATTCAATAATAGTGATATCATGTAA